CGGGGGATTTACAAAGAAGAAAACTCAGCACCATGGATAACATTTGGGTCAGCCGCCGCCGTCGGATTCGTCGTTTCTCTTTGATGTTGACCGTGTTTTAGAGCCGAGTAAGAATAATAAGCAAAAGTTTCTGCCTCACCAGTGGGAATAGCAGGTGGTGTTGAGGAAGAAGATGAATTGCAGCCCCTTTCTCTCATTATTTTATTTTTCTTTTTCTTTTCTTGTTTTTTTATACAAACAAAATTATATTTTACCTATAGTATTTTAATTAGGGTAGTTTAGTCATTTCACCAAAGTCAATAGCAAAATATGATAAAAGGGGCCGTAGACTAAATAAAACTCATTATAGGGGGGGTCAATGCTAATTTTTTTAACATAAGGACTTTTCCGGCAATTAGACTTTTCACAGGAGGCTCTATGCAATTAACTCAAAATAATAATTCTAAAGATGCCGTTAAAGAAAGTATAATTATTATACTTCTTAAGGGTAAATTACAACCACCCCTAGGTATGGTTAATTACAAAAAGAAAAAAGGGGCCTTAAGATATAGGTTCCTAGTGACAAAACTTATTAGAACTAAATGACAACCTAAACTAAACATTTGCTACACATCCTTCATAAAATTTATTCCAAAAATGCCCTCCAACACACAAATTCGAAATTTACATTAATTAAAATTCAAATTGCATTTATTGTTTTTTTAGTCAGTATTTAATATATTTTAATTTTTTCAACCAAACATTTTAATTCTTTTTATATAAAACACGTTTAATATCCTTTTCTTTTTCTTTCTATTTCTTCATTGTAGCAATTTTTACACAATTAAAAAATTATTTTTTCTCTTTGTAATATTGAAGATTACGAAAAAAAAATATATATATATATATTTTTTTTAATTCAATTTACATATTTTAAATATTTTTTTTTTGATTTCATCTGTTGTTAATACAGTAGTATACTATAGTATACTATAGTCTAGTGTAATATACTACGGGATACAATAGTATACTTGTGCTATAGTATACTACAGTATACTATAGTTTACTACGGTCTACTGTTCCAAACCCTAGCCACAAAACAACTCTCAGCCGTCGCCAAACCCTAGCCGCCAACAATTTGCAGCCGCCACCAACTTCTATCCACTAAATCCTAGCCGCCAACCAAAACCCTAGCACCATCAAAGAGGCCTAGATTGATGCAACCACCTCCCACCGTAGACTAACCTCACACCACTGTCTCCAATGGCCATCTACCGCTATAACCATCCGCTCTAATACATGACAACCGATGTGCTCTCAATCGTCACGAACCATAAATCACCGTTGCGTTACACATATGTAATTCGTCACGAGCCATAAATCACCGTTGCATTACAGATCTGTAATTTTCTATACATGAGATTAGATATTTGGTGGGCCCATTATTAAATTTGGCTTATGCATTGGGTCTTCAATTACTAGCATTTTCTCTGGGACGAACATAAAATAGCATTTCAAAGTGAAAAATTAGAGAATTAATAGAGAAAAAAAAAACATAAAAAATAATTTTAAAGATGTCGTCAAAGAAATATAATTATTATACTTCTTCATTATTAATAAAAATAATGATTATTAAAACAAAAAAAAAAGTGAAGTGTTAGTAAATCAATTGAGAGGTTTTTGTGGGATAAAATAAGTTGTTGTATATATATATATATATATATATATATATATATATATATATATATAAATGGGGTAAATTACAAACACCCCGAGGTATGATCAATTTATGAAAAAATTCCTCTTATTTGGATAATTATATCTACCCCTCAACTATGATTTTTTCTTACATCTCCATCCTTATGGTGTCAAATTCAACATAATCATCTAGATTTCGTGTAATGTGCTCTAGTTTGTACTCGTTTTGTGTAAAAATAGAGTTTCTGATGCATCACAATCTGATATATACAAGCTAAAATACACATATTATGATAATCTTGCTTCAAAATGTAGAGTTCGAATGAGATAAAATAGGTACAAAAGTGATAATATTTCATATAATCTCGAAAATTCCACTAAATTTGAAATCACAAGGGTGAACGTGTAAAAAGGTTTATAGTTCAGAGGGTATTAAATTGAAGAATTTTACAAGGAGATAGAAAACTCCATTGTTGCAGAAGGAGGGAGAGTTTGTTACAGAGAGAGAAAGAGAAACTAATTTTTATAAAAGGGAATTAATTAACCAACGGTAACAAAGAGTTGGTTTGTATACATGTCTTTACACGTGTAAAAGAGAAAACGCTATTTACTAAACTAATAACAAAAACGCTAATAGCATATAACACTTTTATTTGTGTTATAGCAAAAATAAAATTGTGAATATAAATATTCCAACATCCCATTCAAGATGGAACTGGAGAATAAATGTTCTTCAAGGCCATCTTGGACAACAAGTGAGAAAAAAGAGGAAATTGCAGTGCTTTGGTAAAAATATCAGTAATTTGATCGCGACTAGGCACGAGCATAAGTCTGACAAAACCATGAGTAACTTGTTTCCGAATGAAGTGGCAATCGATCTCAATGTGTTTCGTGCGTTCGTAAAAAGTTGGATTGGAGTCAATATGAACTGCAGCGAAATTGTCACAGAAGACCAAGTTGGAATCAACTGAAATCTGAAAATCTTGAAGAATATGATTGATCCAAACCAATTCACTAGACACGGATGCTAAAGTTCTATATTCAGATCCAGCTGAGGATCTGGAGACTATGGATTGTTTCTTGGCTTTCCAAGAAACTAGAGAATCACCCAAAAAAACACAAATATATTGAAAATAAATTTTACTATAAACTATTATTTTGCAACTGGTCATTGAATCGATGTAAATAATTTGAGAAGCAATAAAAATATTTGAAAATTAGCTATTCAAACATGTTTCTAACTTTTTAATAATTACAAAATGACCCATAAGGTGTCCGACAGGTGTTTTCGAGTTTTCGATACGAAACATTTCTGAAACGCAGAAAAACATTGAGAAGTTGGAGTTTCTGTGGCACATGGGTAGAAATTAAACTTGAACTGAATTTTCGGATTCTGCCGATTCCCATTTGAAAATTCCAACGTTATAACAATGTTTTCATTTAAAATTCTACAAACTAGGGAGAATTACACTTTTTCGTCCGTCCGATTTCACTTATGATCTCCTCCATCAAGTATCCTCTGTTCACATGTAACAAAAAATACTATTTTAGGGCTAAAATTAAATTTTAAAATTAGCAGTGTTGGGCTTTTGTGGACAATCTCAATTCTCAACAGCAACTTGAATGCACAAGAATTACCATATATATATATATATATATATATATATATATATATATATATATATATATATAGTGTCATATTTATGATATCCGAGAGCTAATTCGTAATGCTTCAGGTATGCATCACTGATAGATCCTTGTTCCTGGAGTAAATGTAATTCATTCATTCATTCATACATACATACACGATTATAATAAATTCAAAGAGAAATTTTGAAAATATAACAATGAACATATCTGATGACCTTGAATTGGTCGTAATCTGCAATGCCATAATTTTATTAGTCCGGTTCTCGAAATGCTCGAGTCCCCCACCCCAAACTAGCGATGTATAACGATTTCCATTTATGTAATTTGAGGATTGTCTTTGAAAGTTACGTTTCTCCAACAACATTCATAAACACCTTTTCTGTTTTCGAATATCGTCCGACATCGTCGATCCTCTTTCTCTAGAAATTCCTGAGTTAAGTAATGAAATACATCAAAATTGCGTACTGATTAAGTGATGGAATAGGTGATTAATTAGCAACGTAAGTGGAGGCGGAGGTACCTTGTATCAGAATAAGACGCTTAGCTTTAATCTTTCTTGGAGTTCAAGTTTTGTTTTGTATTCATTTCGAAAAAAAACCTTTGAACTGTAAATCCAATATAATACAACAGCATGCAGTTTCATATATAAAATTTAATATCAAGATCCATAACATATATATACCTGCAGAAGCACAGAGTTTTGTTTTGTACTCATTTCGAAAAACCCCCCTAATTTCCCTTAGAACTGTAAATCCAATATAATACAAGAGCACGATGCAGTTTCACATATAAAATTTAATATCAAAGATTCATAACATTTAATAAACCTGCAGAGTTTTGTTATCCTCGTTGTTGGGATGTGAGATCCTCGTTGTTGTTGATTTTCGCGCCATTAGTTTTTTCAACCAATTAAACTGCATCCGTCTTGATATATCATCCTCCTCCTCCTCCTCTACTGCAGTGCAGAATTAAACAATGAGCAAATGAATTACCAAAAACCATAGTAATAAAAAAAGAAAAAAAAAAGAAAAAAAGAAATGGGATTTGTTAAATGGCTCCCTGCAGTTAAGAGGTGAACTTACTTTATTACGTTTATTTTTACTGAGGTTATCTTTCATGCTAAAGCCCATATCACAAGAAAAGAAGCACACTGAGGTGAAGTTAAAAGAAGCACCATGAGGTGAAGTTAAAAGACATATATATATAACAAACGTGTGGAGCTGCAAAATTCATTGTCTTCCGAAGCCCCGACTCAAGTGATTTCATCTTATGTTAAGTTACGAAAGTGGAATCTATATTAGGGTTTGACTTTCAAAGTTGACTTTCTAAGAAAATTTCAATTTTGCAGTAAGCAGCCCTAGTGAAAAACGAGAGAGTTGAAGAGACTTTCGAAACTGTTCGATGGAAGACCTATATCAATAACTCATTGCTCAGTAGTGGCTTAAATGTATAACTAGATCGACGTTCCTTGTACTGAACAATAGCAAACAAAATTGTTTCAACATTTGCATTAAACTTTTGTTTTTGTATGTTACTGAATGAGACATTATCAATCAACATCTGCATTATCTCCACCTAAAGAATTGGGTGTGACAAAGTGTTTGTCTATTTACTTAGAAATGCCGTTTTACATTCCAATGTGTTATTAACACTTGTACCCTAATTTTACAACTGACTCTTAAACAGAGTAGCAGCTTAGAGTAGGTGATCCACAGAAACGGGTATTGGTTGACCTAAGAGATCGATCGAAAGAGTCAGCAACTTCAGGGCCATCTGGGGCAATCGGCTTTTGCATCAAAGACTCGGCAACTTCAGGCATGGTGGGCTTGAATTCTTGTTTAGGCTGTGATGGTGCATTTTCAGACAGTAAAATTTTATGTAATGAAACAATATGGTAATCCTACTTAATGGCGTTTTTTTTGAGGTACCTGTATACACGGAGATATGATGTCAGCGAAACGAGAGGCAGATTTGGAGGAGATTGTTCTTATAATAGCTGCTGGATCAACCATCTGTCCTAATGATGTGCTGTCATGAGGTTTCGATGAAGCCCATCTCGTCAACAATTGATATGCATCTAGAAACTCTGCTCTGTAAACAGAACCAAGGGAACCCTCACAGAGGAAGTTTTCTTCACCCAAGCTGTTTGTTGTTATTTGAAGCTCTGCTATATTGTGTACAGTTTTCAGAAGAATATAAATAAATATCCACAAGACATTTTAATCAGTTGGTTTTATGTTTTGCTAAAACGACATGTGTTTCACCTTGGACTGTGCCGATTGGTAGAGATCTCACTGAATTTTCACTGCTCTCCAAGCTGCCGAGTGTTTTCCCACGTGAGCGATGTTTTTGCACCACAAGTGCAATAGCCAAAAATGATGCAACGAGAGCGACCCCACCAATCCTGAATAAATATAATGTTTCAAATTTATGAGGTGAATGAAGAAGCTTATAAATGGATTACCTCAAGGCGGCTATAGCTTGAAAGTTTTCAGGAATAACATCACTGAAATGGTTGTCTTCGATATTCCTGAAAATCGGAGTAGGTGAGTACATGAACAACTGAACTAGATTGGAATAAATTATGAAATTTTATTGGAGAAGACGTACAAGTCAGTAAGCGAGAGATTGGATAAGAAAAACACTGATCCAGTGAGTTGATTGCGCTGCATAAACCTGAAAATTATAACTCTTGTCATTGGATGTTGAAGAAGAAGACGAAAACTCACAAGCCTGTAAGGTTTGTCAGTGATCTGAATGAGGTGGGCAGATCTCGAGTGAAGTTATTAAACGACAAATCCCTGATGAAAGGCGATTGAGATTGTATTCTCAGCAATGGTGAAAATGGGAAAAAAAAAAAGCCAAGAAAACTTGGTTGAGTCTTTGATCCAAAAGAGGAGCATAATAAGCAGATAAAGGGGCAAATCAAGAGCTGAAATCCTATTCATCTTCAACCACTAATGATAAGTTGACAAGCAGTAAAACTGCATATGTGAATCATCAGTAAAAATAATGCCTACTAAATAAGGAATATGGTTTACTGATTTAGATTACATTCCTTTTAGATCCACAAGGCAATAAGTACAGTACGACTTAGAATAGCTAATTCTTGCAAAAGCATGTGAAGTTAGAATTATTAATTCTAAAAGGCAACAAGCTAAGTGGAGTAGTGTCCTTACAAGTGTGTGAGGTTTGGAGGTAAACAATACGGGATTGAGCCTTCAATGTTATTTGAACTAAGGTCCCGGTCAAAATGAAGTTTACACAAAATCGGTCACAAGAACATTATCAAAATACTAATGAATTAATAAAAAAAATTACATAAACCACAATTTCTTACATATGCTTCAAAGTTTTTAGATTGGACAGCTGATACCCAAGATTTCCAGTGAGCTCCAGCCCGTGAAGTTGACTGAAAAAGGAAGAGGTTGACTGTGAATATTGCTCTTAGTTTAAGAAATGAATTTATAATATGAAATAAAATAACCAAGAAATTACAGGTTGATTATGGATGATTTGAAGCACTGAACTCCGATCCAAGCTTCGGGTTTCCAGTGTACCAGCTGCTCGGCCCTGTAGATACCACGAACAGCTTGAACTGCAAATACAAAATTGAATTTGTTGTATATTAGTTCTTTCTTTTGGACTAAATCAACAGGCTGCACTTAATGTAATTCAAATTTCAAAATGTCTACTAATTAACAAGATTTTTTTTTCTGAAAAAAAAGTGCCAATCATAGTAATCAACGTCAGAGTTTACACTCAGTTTCATCAGGTTGTAACCATAATAGTGATGCAAAGAAAATTAGCATAATTGGGATAAGCTTATTAGTGATAATAAAGAACTATACCAGCATTGGAGCTGCTTGATGCTCCAGCATTGGAGCTGCTTGATGGTCCAGCACCGGGGTTGCTTGATGGTCCAGCATTGGAGCTGCTTGATGCTCCAGCATTAGAGCTGCTTGATGCTCCAGCATTGGAGCTGCTTGATGCTCCAGCACCGGGGTTGCTTGATGGTCCAGCATTGGAGCTGCTTGATGCTCCAGCATTGGAGCTGCTTGATGCTCCAGCACCGGGGTTGCTTGACGGTCCAGCATTGGAGCTGCTTGATGCTCCAGTGGAGCTGCTAGATGGTCCAGCACCGGGGTTGCTTGATGGTCCAGCATTACCCAAGGTATAGCTTACCATGGGTTCCTCACCCGGTGCTGCTTGATCGAAAAACACCACGATGACGGTCATGTCATCGTGGATTGGTCTTCTGTCACGCTGGCCCTCGTCCAGCCTCTTTAACTGCTCGTACGTCATCTTATTCTTGGTCGCTGCTACTTCTAGTGCCCTTCTGATGAGTGTCCTTGCAATCCCCTTAAAACACCAATTAAAAAAAAAACCAAACAAGTAATTATAATATTCATAATTAGTATTGGTATTCAAATACGATCACATACCGGTCGAGGCTCCCCTCTAACTATCAGATCCACCGCTGTATTGGATAATTCATCCCACAGCCCGTCAGTCGCGAAGACAATAAATCTATCATCTTTGTGTAAAACTGTCTTCGTTATCTCTGGATCAGCTCTCACCACTGGTCGAACAATAGGCTTCTTGATCTTATATCTTGAAATAGTGTTCAAGGAGAATTCCGGAAATTTGAGGTAAGCATCCCCAATGGATCTCGTCACCTAATTTCACCAAAAAAACAAAATATTATCACTCGTTCGTCAAATTCCGGAAATTTGAGGTAAGCATCCCCAATGGATAATAGTTTTAATAGAATTCATCTGGTTAACAATTCAAATATGTACCTTTCATAAAGAATGTAAAAATAACTACAAATCTTAATAAAGTCACTTGCAAAAGTCCAAGAAGCAAGAAACACAGAAATAATATTCAAGCAAATTAGATTAGCTAAAAGAACAAGAAATTAAAAAAACTAAATTCATCGCCTACCTGAAGGTTGCCCTTGACCCGCCAAACGCCTCTCTTAAGAACAACGTCCGGAACATCAGGGTGCGCTTCTTGTAATTCTTTTCTTATATCTGAAGACCTAGCATTATGGTCAACAGTCATCGCACGTTCCCTCCAAATTTGTCCTTCCATTAAACCACCCATCACTGCTCGACAGTCACCTAAGTTGGCCAAATAGAGATCCTTCCCCCAAAGCACCCCAACTAAAACGCATGATCCAATGGCTGCGATTGCTGGCATTAGGCTAAATTGTTTTCGAATCAACTCGATGAACTCATTTTCTGTTTCAGAAAATGCATTCCGCAAGACTTCATCAGACATAACCCCCCCTGCTTCTTGTAAAATCCCTACCACCAAAAAGAAAAAACAAGAAAAAAAGTTTTTTAAATCGCGTCTAAGTAAACAACGTTTAATAAATAAAAAAAGAAAAAAAAAGGGGGGGGAGAAATACGCTACTTGTGAAATTAGTATGTAAATGGTCAAGCACGAATTGAGAGGCGGCGGAGCCACCATGGCCGTCGTAAACACCAAAGAATGTACCGGCTGGGGTGACCACTACATGGCAACGGTCCTCTACATGTTTGTTCCCTCTAACCATCGCCATAGAGCATTCTCCGGAGGAGTGCCTCACAAGGTCCTCCGACCATATATTCTCCGGATAGTCCTCGGCACGGGTACCGGCATTGGCATCATGGGCTTTACCCAAGCAGACTAAAAACTTTCGAAGCCAATTGACCATTGTTGCTTCAAAATAAGAGAAGAAAAATCACATTACACACACGCACACAAAGGCGCACGAACATGAAATTTCATTTTCCTTCTCAGAACACACACAATTTCACGCACAAACGTGAAATTTCAGCAGCTAATTCTCATTTTCGTTCTCAGAACACACACAATTTCACGTACAAACATGAAATTTCAGCTGGTAATTTTCATTTTCGTTCTCAGAACACACACAATTTCACGTACAAACATGGAATTTCAGCAGCTAATTCTCATTTTCGTTCTCAGAACACACACAATTTCACGTACAAACATGAAATTCCAGCAGCTAATTTTCATTTTCGTTCTCAGAACACATACAATTTCACGCACAAACATGAAATTCCAGCAGCTAATTTTCATTTTCGTTCTCAGAACACACACAAAATTTCACGCACAAACATGAAATTCCAGCAGCTAATTTTCATTTTCGTTCTCAGAACACATACAATTACACGCACAAACATGAAATTTCAGCAGCTAATTTTCATTTCCGTTTTCAAAACACATACAACTACACGCTTAAACAGTAAAAAACAGCTGGTCCGATAGCCCTAAATTCCTCAAAGGCGTAATTGATTTTCCCTCGCGAACACACTTTCTCACACAGTAACTACGCATACAATGGTATATACGTACAATGTATACATATAGCGAATAATCTAATCATACCTTGTAACGGCAGAGAACGCAGATACGAGCTGAATTTTTGAATGAGAAAGAGGCGGTTAGATTTCACAGAGAGAATAAAAAATCTGAGAATGAAAAACGCAATAGAAGAAACATGCTTTGCTCTGTGAGCGGGACGGTTTTATAGTTGGAGAAGTTCAATTGGGCTGTAATCCGGTGTGGTTGAGCCTATGAGAATAAGCAGGTGTGCACTAAAACAAACTATATAACGGTACACGTGACAATTACTCAATATTGTTTGTTTGTTTTTTTTTTTTTTTTTTTTTTTTTTAATTTACAATCATATTATATAGAAAATATAATTTTTGGATATCAAGTTTGATTTATTTTATGTGTAACAAAACTAAAATTAACATTGTATCCACTAGTTAGGGGCTGACACGAAAATTAAACTAATTTACCCGATAGGCTATAATTCGATTCGAGGTTATTCTTTAAAAGTTTCGTTTAAGTTCAATTTGTCAAACTCACGAACCAAGCATGAAGATCTATTTTTGTTAGCATTAAGTTCGAGCTCCAATTTAATTAGAAAAAATATGAACAAAAATTGAAAGTGCTCGAGCTCGGTTCTTATTCGGACTCGATTTAAGCTTGTTGGAGCTCAAGTCGGTCGTTAAACATTACCAAGTCCAAATACAATTTTAAAAACTCGATAAATATATATATACAAGCTAGCTTGAACATTTTATGGACTCCGGGATTTCTCCGGATTTGTGAAACTAATTGAGGTACTCAAATAAAAAAAGTAAGAATATATATATATATATATATATATATATATATATATATATATATATATATATATATATTGAGCAATTGAACTAAAAAAAAATATTAGATGGAATGGAATTGAGCCTCAAAACCGGAGAACAAACGAGAGGATTAGCCCTCGGCAATGTCATTCCGATCCCTTCTTCCATATCCACACGAGTACTAACTCCGTCGGCTTTCCACTCAAAGCACTGAATCATCGCAGCTAAGGTTGTCTGAACAACCTGCAAAGCCAATGATATTCCAGGACATCCTCTTCTACCGCTCCCAAACGGCAAGAAATGATAATGCTGCCCTCTCAAATCCAACTCAGACGAAATAAACCTCTCCGGAATAAACTCGAGCGCGTTTTCCCAATAATCGGGGTTTCTTCCTATGGCCCACACGTTCACGAATAATCGAGTCTCGGCCGGAATACAGTACCCTGCAATAGTGCAGTCTTCGCTCGACTGTCTACCGATTAGTGGGGCCGTTGGGTGGAGCCTTAGTGTTTCTTTTACGATGGCTTGAAGGTAGGGCAAATTAGTAATATCCGATTCTTGGACGAGTCTTTCGTTGTTTCCTATGAGAGAGTCGATTTCTTGAGCCGCTTTTTGCATTATTTCAGGGTGATTTATTAGCTCTGAGAGTGCCCATTGTAGTGTGATTGCTGATGTATCTGTTCCAGCAGTAAATAAGTCCTGGCAAGATCATACAAATTAGCGTAAATTACGGTTAAATCCCCTCAGATTTGATCTAATTACAAAAAGACCCTCATGTTTTATAAATTACGAAATGTTTTTGTTTATTTTGTGTACAAATTTAAAAGATATATCTGCATTATTTTGTAGACAAAATTAATTGAACAACCATTACAAATGTTGCATTTAGCCCCCTGTTAAATATAAAATCTTACAATTACACCTCTATGGTATAGTTAAACTTGGAATTCTTAAGAGACTGTCCATGGGAACTCAAAGATTTCGTTACTACTAACACCGTATGGGGTCAATATTATGCAACTACTAACCTCGGGGGTAATTGTAATTTTTGAAACAAGAGAATTTTTGTAATTAGATCAAAGCGCAGGGGAGGTAAACGTAATTGTTACAAAAAAAAAAGAGAAGAATAAGAGGAAAATTACAATTTTAATCCTTCAAGTTTGCACGTATTATACATTTGGCCCCTCGTGTTCACAAAAAACACATTTGGTCCCTTATATTTCCATAAAATCTTACAATTACACCCCTATGGTATGGTTAAATTTGGAATTCATAAGAAACTATTCATGGCAACTCAAAGATTTCGTTACTACTAACATCAATTTTATGCAACTTCTAACCTCAGAGGGGGTAATTGTAATTTTTAAAACAAGAGGGTTTTTTGTAATTAGATCAAAGTGCAGGGAGGCAACCATAATTGTTCAAAAATACAGAAGAATGAATAAACAGAAGATTAATTATTACCAGGATAAAAGCCTTGATATTCTGTCTTGTTAGCTTAAATTCAGAAGCTGAATCTTCAGCTATATCAAGTAATATATGAAGAAGATCCTTCACAGATTCCTGCGAATATTCCCTCCTTCGAACGAGATGCTCGTCGATAATTCTCTCAGTCATTTCATCGAACATGTCGCGGACATCTTTCATCCTCTTACCAAACCCCTGCAAATCCAAATTTTTACAGAACCAAATATAATCCGACACATTAAACCTACCCGTGAGCTCCGCAATATCCTGAACCAGTTTCCTCACCGCCTCAGCTCCACCTTCTCCGTCGCCGGAGCACCGTTGACTCATGATCATACTCGATATCACATTATTCGTCGTTCTCACAAACTCACCTCCAATATCCACCGATTCGCCGTTTCCCGCCTTGCTCGCCACGAACTGAACGAGCCGATTGATCTCGTGGGCCCGAACGGGCCGGAGGAGGTCGAGGGTGGGCCCGCCGAGGAGGCGGGACATGCAGAGCTTCTTCATGAACTTCCAGTACGGGCCGTAAGGTGCGAAGGTGAAATCCTGTGAGCCGTAGGTGAGGTAATCGATGGCGGCGTTTTGGGGGCGATTGGAGCAGGAGCTCTCGTGTGTTTTGAGGATTTCTTTCGAGATCTCCGGCGATGAAACGATGAGGCATGGGTAAGATCCGAGGCGGATGTGGATTAACGGCCCGTGTTTGGACGAGAGCTTCGCTAGGGCTTGGTGGGGTATTGGGGATAGAAGATGGAGATGGCCGATGATCGGTAAGCCACGTGGCGTTGGGGGAAGGCTTCTAGAAGTAGAAGATCGTTGCTTGATTAGGGTTCGGATTATGATGGTGGAGATTAGCCATATGAGGAAGAAGATGATGTATTCAGCCATGGTTTCTGATTTCTGAGTAATGGAAGTGTTGGAGGAGGATTAATACACTTGGTCAACTCTCACTGATTTCAATGATTAATTTTAATTAAACAGATTTTAATGATTAATTGCATATTAGTATTTGGTCATCTTCTTGTCTTTTTCCTTCCAACTCATAGTGAAGAATCTATTTCTAGATATTAGTTTAAACTTTAAAGGGTAAATTACCACCGCGCCGAGGTGAGTTCGAATTACGAAAAAATTTCTTATCTTTTGATAATTACAATTATCTATCGATTATGAATGTTCTTACACATTGGTCCTATAGTGTCAAATTTAGTGGAATATTCTTCCGTTTGTAGCCGTCATTCGAGCTCCACATTTTGAAGCAAGATGATCATAAGATGTGTACGTGTAAATATCAAATTGTGGTGTATCTTAAACTGCATTTGTGCACAAAACGACTACAAAGTGGAGCATATTTCACGGAATTTAGAATATTCTATTAAATTTGACACCAAAAGGGTGTACATGTAAGAAAATTTTATAATTGAGGGGTGGTTGTAATTACCCAAACATGAAGGGTTTTTCTTGTAATTTTACCTTACCGTATAATTTACCCTATTAAAAAATGGGGAAATCATAGTTTGGTTCCTCATATTTGCACTGATTTCACATTTGGTCTCCATTTTCACAACAAACTCATTTAGTCTCTCATGTTTCAATAATTTAACATTTTTTGTCATTTTCTTGATTTCTTCAATTTACCGATACTCTGTCAGTTAAGGCAGTGATGATCACATGCTTGATTCCGTTAGTCTTAACGAAAAATTAACGGAAGTGACTAAAAGTGTTGAAGTTTTGAAACATAAGGGATCAAATGTGTTTTGTTTGTGAACATAGGGACCAAATGTGAAATCAGTGCAAATATGAGGGACTAAAATTGTATTTTACCCATTTAAAAATATTTGCAAACAGAATACAGAAATAAATCATTTGCATTTTGGCAAAGGAGCACCGCACAGACATCTGTTATGAAAATACGCCGTATAATCAAAATCCGGCAACCTGCCACCCGCCGGAATCCTACCGCAAAGCCGATTGTAACTCACGTTGAGCGAGTTAAGAGTGCTGCCCAACTCAGCCAATCCCTCGGGCAGGCTGCCCGTAATCCTGTTATGATTCAAATCCAGATCCGTCAAACTCGCCGGAAACTCCACCTCGGACAAATCGAACTCCAACATATTCCTCGAAAAATCAGCCACTCCTAAACTCTTGTTCTTCCCGAACAAGAACGACACGTCACCTTGAAGCCTGTTTCTAGAAACATCGATCCACGTAAAATTAGCATATCCCAGCTTCGCCGGAATATTCCCCGTCAGCTGATTATGGGACAAGTAGAGAGAGAAATCCTGCTGCCGGAAATCGGCAAACGACTCCGGGATTCCTCCGGTGAGCTTGTTCCGATCCAAACGGAGTCTTCCAAGGTTCTGGATCTCGGAAAGTGAAGCTGGAATCGAGCCGGTGAGATTGTTGAACGACAACGCAATGTACGTCAGTTTCTTGAGTTTGCCGAGGAATGAAGGAACAGGGCCTGTAAGATAATTCCACCGGAGATCGAGAAACTGAAGGTGAGAAAGCTTTGTTATGGATTCCGGGATTTCTCCGGTGACCCCGGATTTGTGAAACTTGAGGTACTCGAGAAACGGGAGGTCTCCGATCGCCGCCGGGATGGGGAGGTTGAGATCGGCGTATGCGGCGTAGAATTGGGTGATGCGGTGGGTTTTATCGTCGCACCCCACCGCTTTCCAGTCGATGCAGCAGTCGGTTTTTGCGTCCCACGAGATGAAGTGGTGGGGGTAGTTGAGGTCTTTCTTGATTTTCAGGAGGGCTTTTTTGTCATTTGGGTGGCATCTTTCTGACAATGCAGTTTTAGAGAGAGAAAGTAGCACAAATAAGAAACAATGGAAGGCAACCACCATGGCTCGATGGTAAATTAATTTGGAGCTGATGCAATTTGATAGAGAGAGTTGAGATAATACAGTGTTGACTTTATGATAGAATGTAGTCAAATGAAATACTAAGTTGTAATAAATAATGTGGAGTAACATGGCCAATTGCCTGTGTAATCTATATACATACCCATATATATAAATTACGGTCACCGCTTGGCTAATGTTAAATTACGAAAAATCTGTTTATAATTTGGTAATTACAATCACAATCTTCAAGTATAATTTTTTTAACACATCACCCTTATAGTGTCAAATTTAACAAAATCTTCTAAATTATGTGGAATGTTCTCTACTTTGTACTCGTTTTGTGCAAATACACAGTTTTTGATGTACCACAATTTGATACAGTCCAAGAGCCACATTTTATGATCATCCGTTTAATATTTGGAGTTCGAATGGGGTAAAACTGGTACAAACTGAAGAATATTTCACATAATCTAAACATTTCACTAAATTTGACAGCGCAAGGGTGAAAGTGTAAGAAAATTCATAATTAAGGGGTGGTTGTCATTCATCAAACAAGAGGGTTTTTTTTGTAATTTGACCTTATCGCAGGGGTGGCCGTAAATTTTTTTTTGTTTGAGCAATTGAACTAAAATCAAATACTAGATGGAATGGAGTTGAGCCTGATAATAGGGGAGCAAATGAGAGGATTAGCCCTCGGCAAAGTAATTCCGATCCCTTCTTCCATATCGACACGAGTACTAACTCCGTCGGCTTTCCACTCGAAGCACTTAATCATCGCAGCTAAGGTTGTCTGAACAACCTGCAGAGCCAACGATATTCCAGGACAACCTCTTCTACCGCTCCCAAACGGCAAGAAATGATAATGCTGCCCTCTCAAATCCGGCACGGACGAGTTAATAAACCTATCTGGAATAAACTCGAGTGCGTTTTCCCAATGATTAGGATCCCTGCCTATGGCCCACACGTTCACGAAAAGTCGAGTTTTGGCGGGAATGTGGTACGCGCCAACTGTGCAGTCTTCGCTCGACTGCCTCACGATTAGTGGGCCCGTTGGGTGGAGCCTTAGTGTTTCTTTTACGATGGCTTGCAGGTAGGGCAAGTTGGGAATGTCCGATTCTTGGACTAGTCTTTCGTTGTTTCCTATGAGGGAGTCGATTTCGTGAGCCGCTTTTTGCATTATTTCAGGGTGATTGATCAACTCTGATAAAGCCCATTGTAGTGTGATTGCTGATGTGTCTGTTCCAGCAATAAATAAGTCCTGCACCATCAATAAATACAAACTCGGGGTGAAAATTGGAACGAAATTTCCGATTTACGACGATTTTGATGATTTGATCCGATTTCTTTTGGATTTTGGAACAATATTTTTCATTCCGATTTAGATTATTTCCAATTTTTTTGGATCCGAAATGGAATATTCTATCGGACTTCAATTTCCAAAAAATTCGCTTTTTGTCCAAAAATTACACGTATAATATCATTTTTATTTTTATTATTATGCATTTTATACTTTAGGTGACCAATAATTGGAAATTTTCAAATTCCACCGATTCCGATCCGAAAATTTCTGATTTTGGTACAAGTTTATTCGTTCCAATTTCCGAACTTTTGATTTCGAAATTTTCGGATTCTTTCACTTCCAAAAAAATGGAATTTTTCCGAAAGTGCTAATTCCGATCCAATCCGTTCGATTTCTACTCCTAAATGTAACCATTTGAATATATGAGTTCTCTTCAAAAAAAAAAAAACAGAACAATAAATTTATAGATTAATTACCAGGATAAAAGCCTTGATATTCTCTCTTGTTAACTTCATCTCAGAGCTTCCATCTTCAGCTATATCAAGTAAAATATCAAGCAAATCCTTCACAGATTCCTTGCTCGATTCCCTCCTTCGAACTCGATGCTCGTTTATAATCCTCTCCATCATTTCATCGAACCTGTCACGAACCTCTTTCATCCTCTTACCGATCCCCTGCAAATCCAAATTCTTACAGAACCAAATATAATCCGAAACATTAAACGTTCCCGTAATCTCCGCAATATCCTGAACTAATTTCCTCACCCCCTCAGCTTCACCTTCTTCATCACCCGAACACCGTTGACTCATTATCATACTCGATATCACGTTATTCGTCATTTTAACAAGCTCATTTCCAATATCCACCGATTCTCCATTTCTTGCCTTTTTCGCCAAGAATCGAACGAGCCTCTTTATCTCGTGGGCCCGAACGGGCTGAAGCAGGTCAAGTGTGGGCCCGCCAAGAAGCCGAGACATGCAGAGCTTCTTCATGAACTTCCAAAAAGGCCCGTAAGGTGCGAACGAGAAATCTTGTGAACCGTAAGTTAAGTAGTCTGTAGTAACAGTTTGAGGCCTGTCTGAAAAAGATCTTTCGTGTGTTTTGAGGAACTCTTTCGCTATCTCGGGCGATGAAGCGATTAAGCAAGGGTAAGAACCGAGGTGTATGTGGATCAAGGGCCCGTATTTATACGAGAGCTTTGCTAGGGCTTGGTGAGGTATTGGAGCTAGAAGATGAAGATGACCGATGATTGGCAACGATGGAGGGCTCGGAGGAAGGGTTCTAGAAGATCGTTTCTTGATTAGGGTTCGGATTATAATAGTGGGAACTAGCCATATGAGGAAGAAGATGATATATTCTTTGTATTCAGCCATGGTTTTACAAATTATGAGGAAGTGTGAATTGTGTTTGGAGGATTAATAGAAAGGAGTATTGACTTGGTAAACTCTACATTATTCGTTCAAGATTAATTAATTTGATTTATAGAATAGCATTTTATTTTAATATTACAGAATGAAGCACGGCCGGCAATTTCTATAGCATGATGCCGTTTTCTTACATAAGAGACGGAAATTATATGTATGATTCTTTTGTCATGGCATGTTTGTGATCTTTTATGTAGTTGTCGTATGGCTTCGTTAAACTCGGGACTCGTTCTAACTAGACTAAAAAAAATAGATACGTACAAATAAATCAGCAGAGTATAGATTCTTACCACATTTGATTCCAAAAAGATCCAAACAGTAAACGAAACTAAAACGAATTCTTGTAATAAAAGCTAGTAATCATACTATACTATAGTTTGATCATCAAGTGATGATCTATACAAGTATACAACTGAGATTTAAATCATCAAGAAATGATCAACCATACTAAGCACAGTTCAGATAGATACCCTTCGATCTCAACCTTGATTGAAACGTACGGTCAAGATTTAACTAGCGCATGGACAACAAAGTCCTTACTCTTTTATCCCGTTCGGCTTTTTTAGCAGTGGGAGTGCTCTTCAGCTTACGAAGCTCCTCCGTCACAACTTTTTCGACTGTGTCAATATCGTTTAGGAGCTTCTTTTGAGGAGTTAACGAAACTGAATCTCCTTCATCTTGATTTGTGATATTTAGCAGTAATATCTTTGGCACTTTACCAATTTTGGGGTTTTGAGAAATCGTCAAAAAATCGTGCTCGTTTTGTAGGCCTTCACTTTCTTCACAAAGGGCTCTTCTCCTCTCGATTGCCTGTAGAGAATCATCTCAAGATTGGTTAAAACATATCATAGTCTAGACGACTTTCTTGATGATCATATCGTAGAATACTATATCGATCGACACATAGATTCAATCATTACCTTGACTACAACTTCAACGAAAAAAAAAGTAGGAATAAATAAATAATTCCAACATTACCCTCACTACAGCAGTGATGTCCTGGAGAGGTTTCTCGGGTACCAAGGCGGCAAAATGCTACCACGGCCACTTCCCACCATAGGTGACAAGTTTTCTTTCCCTGTGATCCCAATTCTTGGATTTACAATACTACCCCTCCCTGAAGCTATTCCAATTGGTCCAGGTGTCGCCGCCGTACCTGTGCCTCTCCACCGGAAGGGAGTTTCGGTAGCTACTCCCTCCTTGGGTTCATCTTCTAGAACAAGACCCAATGAATTGACCCTCCCACAATCTCTGCCACCACTGCTAAAAATCGGCCTTCGGTTACTGTAAGTGGCTATAACATCCTCTTGCCTCGGCATTCCGTCTCTTCTCTCCGGCATTTTATCAAACATCTTCCGAGACAAGTGCTGAATTGAACTATATGTAAAAAAACAAAGAATGTATATCAGTATATGTTAGTGTAATTATGCAACACTAACACAACACTTGCAAAAATTCAAAACACAATTCATGATAATTTGACTATACAAATTGATGATTCAACAACTTCACTCGGTTAATAAAAGAACAGAAAGAAAACAAAATTGAGAATTTTCAGAGCCCATACAAAATGACGTCATTTCCCGGCGAGGGATTGCCATTTATACCAACATGTAACCCGAATTGAAACTCCCCAAATAAAATGAGAAAAATCAAATTTGCTACCTTGAGAAATTAATTCTTGTGATGACGACTTCAGTCGTGGAATTGAAGAACGGTTTACAGCATAACCATGGAGTTGATTCTGCTCTGTGCGTGTATCAGTGTGTGTGAAGAAGATGAAGAAGATGAAGAAATTAGGTCAAAATTAAAATGGTGAATTGCCAATTTTGAAATGGAATTTTGGGCGGCATTTTTTATGCTTAAATAAGGGAAATTTATTTTCTGGAAATGTAACTGTAGTTGTCAAAAAATTCGTAAAATTAACCGTAAGCGTTTTATAAATTACTATTTTCTACCCATTACTTTTCTTTTTGCTCTTTTCAGTACAAAATTTTCTTTCTAGAAATAAGATTAACCTAAGAAGTCCCATGATTTTTTTTTAATTGGCCTAAATCATTCCTAATTATCAATTAGTGACTACTTACCATAATTAAAAAAAGAACTGCCAAATCCAATTCAGGGTTTGTTAGATGCACCGGGTGATTTTAGACCATATATCTACAGTATACGCATAATAACACGCACACACTTGTGAATGTGAGTTTAGTAAGTCGTTATTTGTATAGATCTACGGTTTAAAATCAACCAGAGCATTTCATCGGGTGTAGCATCTCGTAGAACTTAATTCAGAACAAAAAACTACCTACATTTGGTACAAGAAACCATTTCACAATCACCCATTCATATTGCTTTCCAAAATAAAAAAAATAAAAACAAAATTACTACTCTACTTCTACAATCACAAGATTCAGTCTAAAACATAATATGACAGAGTAGAATTCATAAGTGAAGAAGTTCACAATTTAAGAAAAAAAATTAAGAATCACGAGCCTATGCAACACCCGCCCTTTTTAGCATTCGGGTCAGAATCCTGACCCGGAACAATGATCCGCGTACCCTTAAGAGAAGTGGACTTCGAATAATCCGACCCGTCACCCGCAACCAAAGTCTTCTTACTCACAATCCGATAAATTTCCGTCAGAATTGTCATAAAGGCACTCTCGACATTTGTTGCCTGGAGTGCAGATGTTTCCATAAAGTAGAGATTTTCTCGTTCGGCGAATTCTTGAGCATCTTCCGTCGGAACAGCTCTAAGAGTACCTAAATCGGACTTGTTGCCTATAAGCATTATGACTATGTTCTTGTCTGCGTGGCCTCTCAGCTCCTCTAGCCACCTGGCCATGTGGTCGAAAGACTGACGCTTTGTCATGTCGTACACCAGCATTGCACCCACTGCACCTCTGTAATAAGCACTCGTCACCGCCCGGTACCTACCAAGAAAACGAGATTACAAAAAATCGAAAAGGGTAGGTCGAACTGTTGGAAATTGCAGGGAAAGCAACTGCAGATAATACTTATATATATTTCACCCCATAATCCAGATAATATGACCCTTTTCAAATCAAAAGATACGTTGAAAACACGTATTCGAACACTCGTACATTGTCCAATCAAAATTACATTCGACTCGAACATTAGCTTCAAATATTCGATAATTCAATCCCTACCTACTAACATATTGATTGATCACCTCATGAGATAACTTTTATTCACCCAAAATGCAATAGCTGAAACCGACAAACAACGACGAAATAAAAACGAATATCGTAATTAAGAAAAAGAAAAGGGGGGGGAGGGGGGTCAAACCTTTCTTGACCAGCAGTGTCCCAAATCTGAGCCTTGACAGTTTTGTGATCAATGAGGAGAGTTTTGGTCTGAAATTCGACACCGATGGTGGCCTTCGATTCGAGGCTGAATTCGTTACGAGCAAACCTAGCGAGCAATTGGGATTTTCCGACGGCAGAATCTCCGATTAAAACAACCTTAAACACATAATCGATCTTCTGATTGAAATCCCCACCATACAAATTAGACATCTCGTCACTCGCAACCAATCGCTATTCTTTCTTTAATTCTCTTCAAATCCACCAATTTTGCAGCATAAAATCTTCCAAAATATGATTTTTTTTCTTCTTCTTAATTAATGGATCATTTAATTTGCAGACTGCGAAATGATCCTTGTGCAGAAATTTCGTCCATGTTTAAGAAAGCTGGAAATGCATGAATGAATTATTGGGCAGAAAGAAGAAAGAATCGAAATCTGGGTTGGAAATTGCAATTAGGGTTCGGATCAGATTTTCAATCTGGGGAAATTTGTGAAAGAAGAATGTCGGTGAATTGGAACGAAGAGAAAGAAGGAGCAGAGGTAACGGTAAGTGCGGGACCCATTAACGGTTTTTCAGTTGAGAAAAGGGAATGGGGAAACGTATTTTATTTGTTTTTTCCTCATTTTTTTTATATATGGGAAAAATTCAATTTTTGTCCCCCAAGTTTGTACTAATTTCACATGTGGCTTCCCATGTTCAAAAAAACACATTTGGTCCCTCGTGTTTTAAGAGTTCAACACTTTTAGTCCTTTAAGTCAAATTTCCTATAGCACCAATGGAATCAAGCACGTGCCTTTCACTGATGGACGGACTAAGGGTAAATTGATGGAAATGACCAATTATTATATTATTGTAATATGATGGACTAAATGTGTTTTTTGTGAACATGGAGGACAAAATATGAAATATGTGCAAACTTGAGGGATGAAAACTGTATTTTTCCCATATTTATAAACAATATTTTATTTTATAGGAAATTATATTTTTCATCCCTAAAGTTTTGTAGCAATTTCACATTTGGTCCCCATATTCACAAAAAAACACTTTTGGTCTCTCATGTTCCAATAACTTAGGCTATGTTTGGTAAGCTTTTGGGCTTCTATTTCCATTTTATTCTGGAGAAAGATGTTTTGGGAGAAGAATTTGAAAATAAAATAAAGTTTGTTTGTGTTTTGAGAGGAGACAGTTTGTACTGTAGCAAGTCAAATCATGTCTAAAATGTGTTGGAAAAAGTTATTTTGAAAGAAGAATTTGAAGGATAAAGTGATTTTAGTTTTTAATTTAGTGAAGGCAATTTTCACTGTAGCAGTCAAATCATGTCTGTTAGAGAGAGAAAAATTTGAATTTTTTTTGGGGAAAGTTTTTGAAAATATTTAAAAAATATAATTTTATTTTGGGGAAAGAATGAAAAGAATTTGAGAAGCGTAACAAACATAGCCTTAACATTTTTGGTCTTTTCCGTCAACTTACCGTTAGTCTTTTAGTTAAGGAAGTAATGGGCACACGCTTGATTCCGTTAGTTTTAACGGGAAATTGACAGAAAGGACTAACAATGTTGAATTTTGTAACATAATTACATAAAGGACCAAATATATTTTATTTGTGAATATGGGGATTAAATATGAAATTGGTGCAAACTTGAGGAGAAAAACTATATTTTTTCCTTTTATTTTATATTGTTATAAATAAATAAATTTAAATAGCTTGCGAACCGGTGGGCTAATGAAGAACGGGGCTCCCATGGGCCCATGAGTCCGGTTTGAATTCTTAATTAGTTTCGGGCCGGCCGTTAAATAGTGATCCCTACTACGTCTACAATTATAATGTTATGTTTTTTTAATTCACCTTATAAAATAATTTATTAAATACACATTTAAAAAATCAAAATGAAATCTCATAGAGACTAGAGAGAGTGCATGAGTGATTAAAGATTAGCTTAGAGCATCGATAAGATAATTTTACCATAATGGCTATTAATACGGGCAATTTGCTAAACATCCGTGTACACTAATAATCTTTTAAATAAGGACAATCAGATTTCGACATTTTGTTAAAAGTCTCTTGTTCATATTTTATCCCACATGTCTATCCTCCCCATCGTTGTCATCATCGAAATTGATCTTCCATACATAATGACACATACGAGCACACAAACAATACATAGTAACGCACGCGCACACGAGCACACAAACCACACAGAGTAACGCACGCGCACACACACACACACACTAACACACATACACATAGAATCACCGAACGTAACTAAGTTAAGTAACTAAGCTCTCACTAAATTTTGTAATCAAGCTTTACTTGTAATATTTAGTTTACGCTTTTTAAGTAAGCTCTCAAAAAAGACATTTAACAAATAACAAAATATCACGTATCTTTTAAACTATAAAAAAATAATTTTGAGGGAATATGAGCCAATTTTTCCTTAATAAAATTTACTATTTGATAAATATGTTAATCTTAAATGATAAATAAAAATGACATGGAGACTCGAGAGACTATTTGACTAGAGTTATATATAATATAGCTAGTAATTAATGACTTTATGAGTAAATTCGTAACCAAAAAACCAAAACGGTGTCGTTTAGTAATAGATATTTTTCGGGAAAGCACGTGAACTCACTCGTGTAAGATGAGGAAGCCCGTGTAACTAACTAAGAAAAGCCCAATTCATTCAATTAAAGTGGTCCAATTTTCTCCTCTACCACTACTTTTTTCATGTCTATAATCATTTTTATTTTGACCAATTCTCACTTTCAATTTATTATTATTGTTATTATTTTTATTTTATTTTTATACTTATCTCAAATCATTTATCTTTTTCTTTTGAGTAAATCTAAAACCATTTACATTCATGCCATTTTTTTCAACAACTTGTCACACTTTTTCCTTCACTTTAAATAGATAAACAAATTATATGTATTATATGTTACGAATTTAAAATTATCAATTTATATTTAATAAAATTAATAATTAAATAATAAATATTAAGTGTATATTTCGTTTACTGAATAATTTAATAAATAATTGTTTTTTTCTTCATGATCTAGACAAATAGTAATAAATATTATCAAAGGATGTTGGGAGGTGTGACAGATGATGGGCAACATATTATAAATATATACATTATTATATATATATATATATATATATATATATATATATATACTAGTGAGGCCACACCGCGCCACGCGCGGTATATAATGCCCTGTATAGCTGAATTAATTCGATTGTTATACAAAAGAGAACAATACTCTAGTATGCATCAAAGAGACATAAACAACAAAATAAAAACACATAATTAAATGAAAATTAGCAAGTGCTCCATGGAACCAACTCTTATAAACAAAAACATAATTATCAATAAACAATCCAAACCTATAAGCATAGTAATTACAAAGACACATAGTACAGGATGAACATTCCATGATGGTGAATTAACAAGTGTTAAATTTGATATTTGGTTTCATCTCAAAAAAAAAAAAAATTTGATATTTGGACATTTACAGAGTACATTATTTCAATTAAATAAAGTCTAGTTAACTGTGAATCTCCCTTTTGGAATTTCTTCAACCAGGATTCACCATGCCCATTAATGGTGCCATCATCCCCTGAAAAGAAAATCAGGTAAAAAATTAATAATTCAAATACCACAATTTTTTGACAAAGATTATTATATTATATAAATACATACAACCATCTTTTTTAAGAAAAAAAATTGACCTGTAATAACTACATCAATTAGGTTGATACCAAAGATGAGGCTTATATAAAACAAAAAAACTATAGTTAAATTTCCAGAAGAAGAAAGGGACATCTAACTGAAAAACATAAATAATTTGTATTTAGTACTCTGCATTATGTCGAATTTGCTGAAAAACTCACTGTGTTATAAATATTAACAAAAAAGCCATAGTCAGCTAAAAAATTGCTGAAACTCACTGTGTTATAAATATTAACAAAAACTCACTGTGTTATGTCGAATTTGCTGAAAAACTCACTGTGTTATAAATATTAACAAAAAAGCCATAGTCAGCTAAAAAATTGCACAATAGGGGAGTTTTTGCTAATATTTATAATATGAGGAGCTTTGTCACAATTAAAGTAAATACAGTAAATGCAGGGTTCAGGGGTGCTAAATGCAATAAACCAAAAACAGAAATAGTAATAAAAGAAAACATAAAATTAAAACCTGAGAAGCGAGAAGAACAACATCTTTATGGAGAAAGAATGTAAAATGGCTGGTCAAATTAAAGCTTCCTATTCTGCACTTATTCCCTGCAGAATGGGTCTTCTAAAAAATTTAGGATTCCTATTCTCAGCTTTAATTTGGAGGAAACGAAGAACCTAATGGCTGAGAATCCTAATTCCCATTCACGAGCTCCGGTCGACTCCAACCTCGGCAGTTTTCGGCATCGGCGTAAAAAGGTTAGAAAACCCCTATTTTGTTGTTGTTGTACTCACGAAACAGAGATGGGGATTGAAAACCTCCATCGGATGTGCAAAAAATACATCGAATGACTGATGATTTGCGGGCGGTTTGCTTTGAGAGTGCAATTTTTAGGGTTTTCCTTTAGTTGGGTACTGAAATGGCCTCCGGAGAATGTAAAATTGGAAAGAGAAATGAGACGATAAAGATTGTGTAAACCCACGTCCCACAGGCTACACCGGAAGCTACAAACGTCAAGGTGGGATTGACAAGCGAGAGAACGCAGAAGCAGACTGACAACCGCCGAAAGCAAGCGCGTGTAAATGAACACAACTCGCGTGAGTTTGTTAAAGAAAAATGGAAAATACTGGAAATATTAAGAGAAGGGCCCACGGATATGGGCGGACCATAAATTTGAGCAGCAAAAGAAATTGGAAAAGAAAAGGCGTCTACGCTTAATTTGGATTTTTTTCCGATTAAACGACGTCGTTTTGTGTGCGTTTTGTGTTAAAATAATTAGAAATGTAATATTATTGCACTGTTCATTTGAGGCCTACATCTTTATAGTTTTGTAATATATATATATATATATATATATATATAAAATATAAGATACATAACAAATTCCAAACATCAGCATCTTTGGTGGGCCAATTTCGAAACTCTAGTATAAAGTGAAATAATGGTTTTAGGTAGGCCCAAGTAAATATCTTAAATAAATTAAAACAAAATAAAATAAATACGGCGTAATTTAACTAGATCATATAATTAATTAATAATAATTATGAACTATATTCCATACAATAAGAAAATGTAATTGTTCACACCCCCTATACAGAGTTGGATATACATATCCTAATGTAACTAATATTTTCTTCTTCATCTCCTCGATTTTTCTCGATTACGGGCGCGAGAAGTCGATCAGTGTGTTTGATTTAAAATTACCTTCTGAGAAGCCGAGCATTTGCAATTTGCTCGACTATCGCCAAGTATCTGCGTTTTAATTAACGAGAAAATTAATCAATCAATTCCACAAAAAAACAAAAAAAAAAAAAATACTATACTGTTAAACCTCTATAAATTAATACATTCGGGACTAGCAAAATTCTATTAATTTAGCGAAATATTAAATTATCGAGTTAATAATTTAATATATTTTTACTAACTCGGGAACAGAAGAAATTATCATTTAAACGAGGTTATTAATTTATCGAGGTTCACTTATATACATACCTTGTACTGTTTTTGTAGGCTTTTAATGTAGTCCACAGCCAAATCTAACATATCTGCTGTGTTGGTTTGCTGCATATGCCAAAACAATAAACCTTATTTTTTCAAGAAACATTTATATAATTTTCTTAGTATATATAATATATAATATAATTATATAATTATATATATTACCTTATCCATGTTTGGAACAAGCTCCTGCAATTTCCTCATTCTTTCACTAATTCTAGTTCTTCTCACCTGTACTATACCATAAACTATTCCAATTAGTGGAGCTTGCCTTGCTATTCAAAATAAAATTACGAACTAGTTAAATTGACGATTTTACCCTCTCGGCAATACTCCGTGGATGAGTAGCACAGCCGCGCTTTGCACGAATCTTGCACGGAACGGAATCTTGAAGCATTAACAGCTTCTCCATATTTGCAATTTCCGACGAATTAGTCTTGGGTAGGCTTAAGTGGTGCGACAAACTATACGGCCTATTTCTTATAAGCTCCTCGTTCTGTTTTTTTTTTTAATTAACACATATAATCCAATCAATTCGATATCCCAATAATAATATTGCATGTCGAAGATTAAATTTAAATTATTGTTTTCAATATTATTTTACCTCGGTAATAAAAATTGGCTTGGGATCGTTATCCACCTCCGTTTTGATGCCACTGGTGAAGTTCGTTTCTGCAAAATACGAAGAGTCGTTCCAAGAAGCAAATGGGAATCCAGAAGTAGTGGAAAATAAATTGTCACCACCGCTATTTCCCACCTTTGTGTAATGTGGGCTGTGGGGCCCGCCGTGTTCGTTTTCGACCTCTTTGATTCGAGACAATAATCCCAAGGGAGATGACGACGGCGTCACGGATGGGAAGTTCGTGTGATTTCTTACCCCGGCGTAGCCTGTAATTCGCCGATCATTTATTGTAAGAAATAAATACATTTCGAAATCGCAAAGTTTCAAAAATCAAGATAAACAAAAAGAGAGTTTCTTGATTTTTTTTTTTTTTTTAAATATTGATATTCCTTTAGAAATAAAATAGGGGAAGAACAAAATCTAGCAAACTAATATAATTAAATTAAATTAAATATCCAAAAACTAAGAATCACTACAAAATTCAATTAGACACATACTAAAAAGGGCACCAAAATTTATTAATTACATACTGAATTGAGAAAAAAAAAAGATGGCAAATTAATCACTACAAATAAATTGATTTTTTTTTAAATAAAATAACAATAAAAAAAAATACCATTTTGAGAGAGCAATCCAGCAGGTGAGCTATTCTGCCTGACAAGACCAAATCCACCACCACCACCACCACCACCCACCGACAAAGACCCTAATTCACCACCACCGCCGCCGCCGCCACTTTGATGCCTTGGATACTGAGGTGGCAGCTGTGAATTCATGGCAGCAGGAAATCTAGTATAATTACCAGAAACACCCTTATTACAACTATTATTATCATCAATATTAATATCCATTACATGAGCACTCTTTTCAGCCAAATCTGCAAGAAAAGAAGTGGGAGCAGACCTAAATCTCAGCAGCCCAGAATTATTTTGGGATTCCATTAATGGAAAGTGGTGGTGTTCTCCTCTAGGGTTTGGATTTATGGTGGCAAATATATTATTAGGCATCGAATTCACAGTTGATAACAATGCTTCCGAATAAATTCAAATAAATAAAAATTAAAAAAAAAAAAACTTTTTTTTTTTTGGTAAGTCTTTGTGACAAGGAAACTGGAAACAAGCTTGTTATTTAAGCAGTTGGGGTTGAAGAAATCTTGTTCTTGAAGCAAGAAAAACAAAAGATCTGAGTCTTGATAGAATTTTCTTGATTACTCTCACTAGGGTTTTCTTTTTTTTTTTTTTTTTGATTTAGGAAGCAAATTGGTAAATGAGGTTTTATTTGCAGGCTTTTTTTACTTTATAGTTTTTTTCTTCTTTGAGGTATTATGGGAGGTGGAAGTATGGTACAAAATATTTGCCATTTTAGGGAAATTTCAGAGGATTATTAATAAACAAAAAATATCTAAGTACAGAGTGACACTTCTGATGTTGCTACACGTTTTTATTTTGATTTATATTATATGCAAGTGGGAATTAAGTTTCTTGAATTAAATTGAACCTATATAGAAATTAAGTGCATATTATTTATATGAAAGTTTATATATTTTTTTCCTTCAAATTCCCACTTTAATGTAAAAAAAAGAATAGGGTTTTCTTTGTACTTGGTAATGTTTTTTCTTAGTAATATTTGAATTAAATATGGTTTTGTTTTTACAATAATTAACTGTTGATCGGCACATAATCAAACACACTATGTGTGCTTAGTGATGGTTATTTAAACACATCAATGGTTAAAACTTACCCAGTGTATGTGACTCGGTGTAGCATTTCCACAATTTCGGAAAAAAAAAAACAGCCACGACAAAAAATAATAATTTTTTTTTAAAATAAGAAAATAATTATAATATAACTGCGCATCAGATTCACAAACACTGTGGAAATCAGTCCCCCACTGCAGACCATGACATCACTCACTCCACCCAATTTTGCCAATTTATTCGAATAATTCAAATAATAGAGAAATGGCATTGACAATTTATTTAGAAGATATTGAATTTTAATATTGGTTGGAGAACAAATAGAACAAAGAATATAATTAAAGAACATGAATTAATTAGCAGAATATGTGGATTAGTATTTACGAATCTGGTGAGATTCAATTCAAGTAGATAAGGCATTAAATTGGAATAGTATTAGGACAACTCCGGATCGGAGGGATAAAATTAAAATTATTCCGAGAATGTAAGTTGGTGCAAAGTACGATCGAGACATACGTAATAAGTGAGACAGAACAATTATATGTCAATTGCTTGTACTTGAAGCTTTTTATTGGATTAGAATTTGATACCATATTCTTCATTTTTTTTTTCATGTAAATACTAATCTAAGATAATAATAAAATTAAAATTGAAAAAAATTAAAATAAAATAAAATTGAAACGTGTAACAGTTGAGAGTTATACAATTCGAATTAGATGCCCAATAATTGTAATTTGGATAAGGAAACATAAATTCTTGTTGATCGAATATATGGAGGCAGACAACTTATCATCTTTTCATTTATGATAATTTTTTGATTTTTTTCTATTTTGATTAAATTTTTCAATTTTTAATAAAACAAATTCGGGGTAAATTACAAACACCCCCTGAGGTATGGTTAAATTACAAAAAACCCCCTCTTGTTTGGATAATTACATTTACCCCCCTCAACTATGATTTTTTCTTACCTTTATGGTGCCAAATTCAACATAGTCATCTAGATTCCGTGAAATGTGCTCTAGTTTGTACTCTTTGTGTAAAAAATACAGTTTTCGATGCACCACAAACTGATATGTACAAGCTAAAAATCACATATTATGGTCATCTTGCTTCATAATGTAAAGTTTGAATGAGATAAAACGGGTACAAAAGTGATAATATTCCATATAATCTCGAAGATTCCACTAAATTTGATGAGTTGAGGGGGGTGGTTGTAATTATCCAAACAAGAGGGGTGTTTTTGTAATTTGGTCATACCTCAGGGGGGTGTTTGTAATTTACCCAACAAATTCGTTGAAATTACAATTGGGATTTTATCCATATACACTCATTTTTTGTTTTTGAATTTTCTTCAAATTTATTTGCGCATTCCGAATTTATTGCTCTTTAAAATTAAATCATAGAAATTATTCGAGAAAAAAGAAAAAGAAAAAAAAAATCATAATCTTACAAATCCCACCATTTTATAGATTCTATTTCTAAATTAACAACATAACACATCTAATTCATTTTCATTATACCTAGCTAGCTCGTTCATTGCAGTTTGATTCGATCAAGATTATCGGAAACAGACCTCATCTTCGGCCTCAATTCCGGATCGAATTCCGTACAATTCAACGCAACATAAAACGTAGCAACAACTTGTTTCTTCGCACGAGCTTCATGCAATAGAGACGGGTCTATAATCTCCGACAAAGGTCTTTTCTCACTAAACGCTTTCCTCACCAATCCCTCGATCCCCTTACAATCACCACCGTCGTTCTTGTAGTTGACCGGGAGTTGACCGGTGAGCATTTCTAGAAGCAAGATACCAAAAGAATAGACATCGCATTTCTGTGTGAGCCTCGACCCCGCGGCTCGAGCTTCGGGCGCCACGTAGGCGAGGAGTGAGCTTTTGGTGGGGCCCACGATACCTTGGTTCGGAATTTGCTTCGGATCAAGGCGGGATAGTCCAAAACCGGAGATGTAGGGTTTTAGGTTGTCGTCGAGGAGGATTTTCGACGATTTTATTTTCCCGTGGACGTATTTTTTCGGGCCCCACTCGTGGATGTGCGTTAGGGCTTTTGCGCTTTCTTGAGCAATTTTTAGCCTTTCGGACCATGATAGTGATGAAGGCAAGGTGTTCCCCGGTCCACCTGCACCACCACTCAAGTAATTAAATCTCGAAAAAACTTATAAAGAATCTTCTTAAGCACAACGTCTTCTTGAAATTAGATGCCGAATTCTAAACATCGTATAATAATTAGACAAATTACGAAAATGAAAATGAAAATCAACCAATTAACAAGGTGGGAACAAATTAAGCAAATTCTTACCATGCAATGCATTGTACAAGCTCCCGTTCCGAACGAAATCGGAAATCACCAATTTTTCGTCGCTAGCGTAGTAATAAGCCCTTAACCTCACAATGTTGGGGTGTTGAACCTTACCGATGGCCTCCATCTCAGCCTCGAACTCCTTAAGCCGCCACGCCACATCACCCTCGCTCATCCGCCTCACCGCAACCACCACCGGACCGCTCACCGCCCTTCCACCACCACCAACCACCACCTTGTACACTATCCCACTCCTACTTTTTCCGACGACATAAGCCGACGCCCTCAACAAATCCTCCAACTCCAAAGCAAACCCTTCATCCATAACAACAAATTTACCCTTTTGCCCTTCCTCACAACTCCTCACCACCACCACCACCTCCTCCGAGCTCACATTTTCCTTACCCAACTTTTTTTCAATCTTCCATCTTTTCTTGATCACCCAAACCGAAACAAACATCACCCCAATTACCAAACAAACCCCTGAAATCACAGAAATTGTCAATGGACCCCCATTTATTTTTTTATTATTCTCCACAACCCCATTTGAGGGCACCCCTGCATTAACAGGCTTTTGAGGAATATTCAAGAATCTTGGATTTTCATCTTCTTGAACTTCACACACTTTGCTTAACGGAAACCCACAAAGAAAAGGGTTCCCAGAAAATGCAGTTGGCCCCTGGTTCAACAGCGACTCCACCTGAGGAATTTTTCCGGTGAGGTTATTACACCGGAGGTCAAGGCTGACCATCACCGGAAACCGGCCAAAACTCGCCGGAATCTCGCCGGAAAATGCGTTAAACGAAAGATTCAGAGTCCCGGTCAAATGGGTCAAACTGCTTAAGCTTTCAGGGAGTGAGCCGTTGAGATTATTGGAAGACACATCTAGATGAACTAGGGTTTGGAGGGCGGTGATCTGGTGCGGCAGCGGTCCACCGAAAGAGTTGTGTGAAAGATCAAGAGAAGTGAGAAAAGCGAGCGCACTAATTTCTGATGGGATGTAGCCGGTGAGATTCTTGTTGGGGAGTGAAATGGAGATGACCCTACTACTGTGGGTGCGATCGCAGGTGATTCCAGCCCAACTGCACGGAGTTGAATCGGAGTCGGACCAGGAAATCAGAGCTTGTGTTGGGTCTTTTGTAATGGATGCTTTGAGAGCTAAGAGAGAGAAACCGTCTAAATTCAGCGACGAAGAGAGAGAAATGAAGTAAAATAACTGAATGAGACCGTATTCGAAGCTCCGGTGGTTCATTTTTTTGTTTTTTGTGAGTAAAAATCCAATCTTTATCAAATGCATGCAAGGAAGAAATGAGTTGCAGAAAGAGTGTGTGTGTGAAGATGAAGAGAGATTTTTTGTGTTTCAATTTGAATTAAAGAGTTTTTCGAGGTTTATTTATTAATTAAGTGGTGGTGTAATTAATTTGGGGGTGTTGAGTTTGAATTTTGTTTGACTAATGTAGCTTTATTTGAGGGAGTGGAGTTTATTAATGTTGTTGGGATGTGGTTCTTTGTTTCTTGTTATATAATTAAATAATATAAATCTATGTGTATTAAATAATATATTTTATTATTTTTTATTTAGGTTGAGGAGATGTGGATAAAATGTGCATCTTTGATTTGTTGTCTGAAACAGGCTTTAAACCAAGAGCACTGTCATTTTCTCGTGTGATTAGATTAGAGTAGTACACATTTGGATTTTGTTCTTCAAAATTTCAAGGATAAATTACCCTGAGGTAAGGTAAAATTACGAAAAAAAAAATCTTTCATATTTGTGTATTTACAATTACCCTCAACTATAAATTTTCTTACACATTCACCCTTGCGATGTCATATTTAGTGAAATCGTCCGGATTACGTGAAGTATTCTCCAGTATGTACCCGTTTTACCTCATTATAGCTCCACGTTTTAAAACAAAATGATCATAAATTGTGTCTCTTGATGTGTAAATATAAGATTGTGGTGCATCTGAAACTACATTTTGCACAAAACGAGTACACATTAGGGAATATTCCACGAATTATAGAAGATTCTATTGCAGTTGCACAAGGTCTTTTTTTTGTGATTTGACATTATCGGGAGTGGTCGTAATTTATCTTTCATACTACTCCCTTACAACTTATTCAAATATTTAAAATAGTATAATAAAAAAATGATAAAAGTATTTCAACTTTTTAAAATGCAATAATTGAAAAGAATATTTTAAAAAAAAACAAGTGTATAGTGTAATTAATTTAAAATATTACTAAATTTATTCAAACAAATAGAAGCCAATATAAATACGAGTAGTCTTGTCTACATAATAAGTACATACAAAATAATTGGTGGTAATTTGTTTTTGTCCTTTGGACTTATGAATGTAGCACACCATGAATAGTACTCTTTACTTGGACCTTTTAATAATTAAAGAAGAGTGGGAGGACTTGTCTGCAAAATAGAAAAGAAGTGTCAACTTTCCGGACAAATGGTGTCGGAAAAAGATGCAGCCAAAGATCACATGCTAAATATTCGGCTTTTTACGGAGCCTCACAGAATCCACTTATTGCCTACAGGGGTGTTTTGGTAACTTCAGAGAGATTCAAAAAAATCCAGCGGAAAGGACAATGTAATGAACAAAAAAGAAACTTGCTGAAAGCAATAAATAAAAAATTAAAAGATAAATTCAACTTTTTTAAAAGGGTAAATTACAAACACCCACCTGAGGTATGGCCAAATTACAAAAACACCCCTCTTGTTTGGATAATTACAACCACCCCCTCAACTCATCAAATTTAGTGGAATTTTCGAGATTATATGGAATATTATCACTTTTGTACCCGTTTTATCCCATTCAAACTCTACATTATGAAGCAAGATGACCATAATATGTGATTTTTAGCTTGTATATATCAGTTTGTGGTGCATCGGAAACTGTATTTTTTACACAAAAAGAGTACAAACTATAGCATATTTCACGGAATCTAGATGACTATGTTGAATTTGGCACCATAAAGGTGGACGTCTAAGAAAAAAATCATAGTTGAGGGGGATAGGTGTAATTATCCAAACAAGAGGGGGGTTTTTGTAATTTGACCATACCTCAGGGGGTGTTTGTAATTTACCCTTTTTAAAATCATTTTATAATTAAATAAAAGAAAATCCAGTGGAATTCAGCCAAGTTTCTGTAGAGCAAGCTCCTGGAAGAACTTTCCTCTGTGCTCGAAGTTTTTGAACTCGTCGAAACTAGCGCACCCCGGACTCAATACAATGGCATCACCTACATTCGAAACAATTAAAAAAATAAAATAATTCCAAATATTTAGAATATATTATACAAATTCAAATTAAACGATTAGTAAATAACACGAATCAAAATTAATTCGGTGGAAAAAAAGGATATTGATTTTACCGGTTTTCGCCATATTTGTGGCTAATCGCACAGCATCTTTCAGATTGTTTGCCCTTAAACAAGGTATACTCAGACCATGTGACGATAGCGTATCTTGAATCATCGTACCTGAAGAACCAAACTTCGTATAATCATGAAAAAACATGTGAGTTTTTTTTTTTTTTTTCTTGATGGAGAAAATAAATTGAATATGAAACCCCGTAAAATAAAAAAAATTGCGTTTCTCAAAATCACGAGCAATTTACTTACAGTGACAACACCTCTATGGTACTTCAAGGGTTCTATCAGCTGCCCGAAACCATTACAACCTTGTTTTTCCGAAACCTATAAAATTTAGCAATTAAAAACATTAAAAAAAATCAGGCCTCGACTTCTGTTCTTTGAGGTTATAAAAAATCAAGTTTTATGACCTTATCCTTATTATGAGGTTATTAAAAAAATTTAAGGTAATGCGAGAGAATAGATTAATGAGGGGCAAAATGGTAATTTAACCTTAGCGAGGCCACCGAGTAAAACTATCGATTTCTGTTCTTTGATGCCCATAAGTCCAGCATATGTTGCTTCGACATTAGTTGCCTTGCTGTCATCCACCCATGTTACTCCACGAGCATCTTTGTGAACTGCAACACGAATATTACTAAAACAAATTGAAAAAATAAAATTATAAAATCGATCAGTAAAAAATTAAAGATAATTACAAGTATTTAAAAGATTATACGCTACTCACCGATTTGCATTCTGTGAGGTGGAGCTTTCAATTTATCAATAGTTGAACCGATAGCTTCACTATCGATTCCAATATCCAGTCCGATAACGGATAACGCTGCAATTGCGGAATTATAGTAATTATGTGTTCCAATGGCAGTCAATGCACCCAACGATAATTCCGAGACAAGCCCAATTGTAGGAATTCTAAAGTAGGCAATCTTCTCCTCCAAATCAACCTTTTCGTTTTGTTCAAGAAAACGAGCAAATTATCATTTATACGTATTTACATAAATGCAAAAACTGCACCGAAAAATGTAAGTCGTCTTACTTGAAGCCCGGGATAAGTACCTATCCAAGCATAATTACATTGGTTTGCATGGCATGCAATTGCCTCGTTTAGAAATGAATTTCCTACAAAGGAATATTACATTACCAAATTTTTTTTTTAAAATATTGGGATTGTTTAGAAAGTGAAACAGCTAATAACGGAACTGATTTTATACCTGTGGGAAGAATGGCGATTTTTCCGTCGGTCATGTGGGAAAAAATACGGGACTTGATCGTGGCATAATCTGTCATAGACTTGTGTCTTTCAAGGTGATCGGGGGTGAGATTCAATATTACAGCAACCTAAACGAAACAAAGTCATGCTCGGGTTGTAATGTAATAATTATAATTAAAGAAGTTTGAAACACCGAAATGAGGTTTTCTTACAGAAGGGATGAAGTTTTTGCTCGGAATTTCTAGCTGATAACTGCTTACTTCCACCACAGCAACCTAGCAAAATGCAAATAATCCGTACAAAATTCATCAAATTCCAAAAGAATAGTCGCTTATTAAATTAATGAAAGTAAGATGAATTTGTTTTGCCTGAAATGGTTTGCGAGATGGCGATTCAAAGCTTTGGAGAGCGGCTTCTGAGAGAGGAAGACCGAGGTTTCCACCGACGAATGTTTCGATGTTCAAATGGCTGAGCATCTACATCACCGATTATTTTACAACAATATAAAAATTGAATTATTTTATTGCAAAAAAGAAACACGAAAAATATACAGCCAGAGAAAAACGAAAAGGGTAAACCTGTCCAGCGAAAGTGACTACAGTAGATTTTCCGTTAGTTCCAGTGACGGCTAAAATCTTTGTGCACTTTGGGAGAACTTGTGCAGCAAAATCCAACTCGGAAATAACACGTTTTCCCTATATAAGTGGTCGAATTTCAACATTCGTTAATTCAAAACGACCTTCCGAATTTATATATATATGCATTGAGACGATGAAACTCGAACTTACAGATTGTAACAGAGATGCCAGACCGTAATTTTCAAGAGGAATTCCGGGCGAAACGACTATCTGATCTGCCACTTGAAGTAGCTCATTGTCAAAGCAACCTAAAATTGTCTCTAAATTACCATATTTGCCATTTAAAACGTCGTCCTGCACTACGCGTACACCGACATCAAGAACTAGAAAAGCGAGAAAAAAAATAAAAAAAAAATCGACAAATTTAAATATGCATACCTCGAGTGGTCTTAATGTTTCATTCTGGTCAAGGGCTACAACTGAAGCACCTCTAGCAAGAGCAAGTTTTGCTGCAGAAATCCCAGATTTTCCCAACCCTATAATCTACAATGTAATTAGCAGATTTCAATTAAAAAATTAATCATGAATTATTTTGCGCATAAATTAAACATTCGAATTAATAAATTGAATCTCCCACCAATTGCCCATGAAAACGCGGCAAAATGATCAGTAGTTCACTATTCAAATTTAACCAATATTATAGAAAATTAGAACTTTTGACCTAAAATCGAACAGCTGAAGAAACCCTAAAATTGCCCATTATTCCAAAAAAAAAAATCAAAATTAAGAAGAAAAAGAAGTTGGGAATGAACAGTGTATAAAAGGGAGTGACTTACAGCAACCGATTGCCCTTTTAGGTCTTGTTTGGGAAGGCGAGATTCAATCTTCAGGCATAATTCTCTCTTTAGTACAGAGCTGTTCAACATTAAAATGGGGAAAACAAGAAATACTGCCTTGGTGAAGAGAGAGAGAGAGAGAGAGAGAGAGAGAGAGAGAGAGTTCAGTTGGCGCTCAATTGTGTTGTTCCTTCGACCAGTTTACCTTGCAATTTCAATAGCTATTCATTTTTCTATTTCTATTTTCTGATTAATACAGGCCGTGACTAAAAAAATTATATTAATTTATCGAAATATTAAATTAACAAACTATTAATATGGTATTTTTTTTTCCCAATCGGAACGAAAAAAAAATTATTATGATTTAAACGAGGTTTTTAGTTTACCGAGGTTAGAGAAATTTGTTTATCATTCACCTCAAATGTAATTTTTTCAAATAATTTAATATAAAAAAAATAATAATAATCTATAGGAATACAATCAACATGCTAGCCAAACAAGACCCTAGGATATTAACATGCTATATAATTCCACACCAATTGGCTACAGCATAATACATAACAATTCCTGAACCAAGAACAACGGAGGAAAAAAAAAAAAAAACACAATCCTACCTCCCGAAAGCAAGTCGTAAAACCAAAGTTCTCCATAACTAATCGAATACTACGACATCTAATCCAACCTAAACGAGTACTTAATAACCAAATCCAGCTTCATCGGCCCTCACGAACCAGGCACGTTCAGGTGTTTGAAAAGTTCCGGAAGGTGAGAGTTCGTAAGCTTAGTCCTCTTGCTAATCTCATTCTTCTTCTTCTTCGTCTTCTGCTTAGGTGGCACGCCGTGAATATCCGCCATTGCCCTTCTCCTTGCTGTGTCGGTGGCGGGTTTCATCCCATTCTTCTGTAAATCCCTCTCCATATCGAGCATATCTCGTGGCAGTTCAATCCCTCGAAACAACTGCTTCAGATCATCATCTACTTTAATCACGGCCCTCGGATCGTTCGGGTAAGCTACGTCCTCTTGTGAGTCGTAATTCGATAGAAGCCAAATTTGTCCAGATGCTTTCAAGGCCTGCATAATTTTTTTTTTATTAATTAATCCAACAGATTACTTTCCGAGTGTTTTTTGAGTAACGAGAGAAAAACGGTACCTGTAAATCCTCCAAGACTGTGGGGTACGAGTCTTTGAGATCGATAACGGCAATACCTTCGGGAAACTTCCGGATCAGAACGAGAAGTTGGCTCTTGTCTTTCAAATCATGTTTCGACTGCGAATAGGTTATTTTTATAAACCAGAATAAATATTTCATCGGAGAATGTACAAGAAGACGAAAACGTGTTATGCACCAAACATAGGCAAGAAGAGCTAAATTACCTTGTACGAGAGTCGCTTTCCGTCATATCTCACTTTTGGATTGTTCCTTAAACTGTCGAACACAGCCTTGTTCGCAATCATGTCCACGTAGCACGCTTCGTTTATTTGCTCGGGAGTTAAGGCTTGCCTTTTCTGTCGATTAGAAATTTCATTTTATTACACGCGCAAACAACTACATAATACTTTTCTTACATTACGATAATCGGGGTTCTATCCATAACAACATTTAACAGAATGTAAGAAACGAGGAAAAAAGTAGAAGTATACCTCAAAGAGCAAATCAATGACACGTTTCATTTGAGCCCCGACAGGAGCTTTTCTTATGCTATTAATGTGCTGGAGCCGTTCCGTATCGTTCGAGAATTTAATTGGGGTTGGAGGAGACTTTGCAATTGCCGAAGCCGAGGTAATTGTGGACATCGATTTAGACCTGGCCCTAGACGATTCTGCTTTCGCTGCAATGCTCGTGAGTGTCGACTGGCATTTCTCTTGCTGTTTCTTGAATTTCGACAAACTTTCTTGAAGTGATGCCATCTAAAACACAATTGGAGCTCGTTACATAATCATTTAACTCAGTAAGAAGAATCAAATCATTCACACACCCCCAACCCCCACCCCCAAAAAATATAAAAACATGAAATAAATGATATTTACTAAATTCCAAAGTGGGTTCTGGAAAATTTGAACTGATTCCAAAGAATCAAAATTTCCCGCAGCAAAAAAAAGGAGCAATGGGCGTGAATTAAATCAGTGAACACTACTAGGGTTTATCTTTTTTCTTGCTATTTTTAATAAAATCAAGCACCGTAATTTCATGTTCATTTAGTAATTTGTCAGAGTTTTTTCTTCCATGACTTCATCTGGGGTTGTATTTACCTCAAAGAACACAAAAATTAACCCTTGTTTCTCACATATAAGAGAAAATAACTCGCCGGCAGAGAATTCTCAAAAATAAATTCTTACCGCCGACGATGCGCCGCCGTTACTCGTCGGAAATTGTTCAGTGAAACGGGAACGAAGAGGAGTAAGGAGTGTTCGAACTATGAAGAGAGTACAGAATAAATTGAGAATTGGGGGCAACAAGAACCCTAGGAATAGGTTTCAAATTAGGTAATTGCAATCAATGTAATGACATTAATAAAAAATTAATATATATTTAAAGATACGTCGTCGTTTGTGCCCAACAGCATACGAAAATTTGATGTGGGCCTAAACTAAAAATTGTAAATAAAGGCCCAATAAGAAGTTTTTAAATCAAGAGTTATTTGTGGGCCTTCAGCCCATAATTAAATTAATATTAACTATTAGGTAGGAATCATTTATTCCTTAAGGGCTAAATACAGTTTGCACCCTTAAAGTATAGGGGTGGTAACACTTACCCCCTTAAAGTTACAAATATAACACTTATCCCCCTCATTAATGAATTTAATTGTAAAACTTTGACTTTGAATGATGTGGCATTTTTCTTTCCAAATTGTCCTTCTAGCAATTATATAAATAATGAATATGTAATAATAAAAAATTCGGCAACTTTGCAAAAACTTAATTTTATTATTTCATATTGTGAATTTAGGAATGGAAAACATTGAATTTTAGTTTCGTTTTTGTATACCTTGTGTTCATATGTAGCTAATACAAATTAACAATTACTCGAGTCTTTGATATTGATTTTATAGTTTA